AATGGAAATTAACCAGAGGCTTCTAGTAATAGAAGTGTTCATTTAAGAAAACTGCTGAACCTCAGAAGCACACATTTTAGAATTTTTTAACTTGCCCTATTCCTCCCCGCCTCTCCCCAGATTGGTGATAGTGAACGTCAACAATGTCAGCACTCACTAAAACAAGCTCCCATTGGCGGCATGACACTGTAGGGTAAGCATTGGGCTTCTAACCCCAAGGCCAGCTGTTTAAACTCACCTGCCACTCGAGGAAGATGAGACTGTGCCCCTGTAAAAAATTCCATCTCAGGCCCTATGGAGTCCTTGAGCTGGAATGGACTTGGTAAGAATAGTTCGGGGGTGGGGGTGGGTGTTGTATATATGAGAGAAGAACAACCTCCAGGTTTGGGCTTCAAGTTGTTTACTTCAGAGCAAGCTCAGGCCTATTACCAAAAAACCAACCCCCCAAACCTCACTGCCATACAGCTGATGCCGACATGGCTGCCCTATAGGGCCGGGTAGAACTGCCCCTGTAAGTTTCCAAGACTAAGGGAGGAGAAAGCCCTATCTTTTCACCACAGAGTGGCTGGCCTTTAGGATCGCAGCTCAGTGCATTTCCACTATACCACCAGCTCACCAACACCAAACAGAAGATGCCAACAGTCCCCAATAAGCAGATGTTTGGTATACATCAGACGAAATACTATGGCATCTTGTGGTTTGTAAGGTAGAGGAACCTTGGTGATGTAGTGGGTGACTCACTGGGCTGCTAACCACAAGGTCAGCAGTTCTCCCTGGGAGAAAGAGGAGGCTTTCTACTCCTATGAAGAGTTGCAGTCTTAGAAATCCACAGGTTTCCTGTCCTACAGGGTGGTTATGAGTCAGAATTGACTTGATGACAATGAGCTTGGTTTTGGAAAGTCCTCTTGCCATTAAAGTGCTCTGATCTAGGATAGAGATTCCCCACCTGACTGCAGGCAGACTGCATAAGGTACTTCCCCTTTGGCTGGCTCCATGGCTGCTTACCTCTAACGGACCCCTGCTGTAGTGGACCACCACTGCCGGTGGCTGTCAATGCATCCACCACCCACCCTTTGCCATCAAGCCAATTCTAGCTCATAGCAACCCTATAGAACAGAGTAGAATTGCCCGTGGGTTTCTGAGTCTATAAATCTTTATGGAGGCAGAAAGCCTCATCTTTCTCTCGAGGAGCAGTCAATGGATTTGAACCACAGACCTTGTGGTTAGCAGCCACATGTGTCATCCTCTACACCACCAGGGCTGCATATCTGAAAAACCTGCCATTGATTGGGTTCCAATTCCTCGTGACTTTATGCAGGATTTTCGGGGCTGTAAGTCCTTACAGGGACAGATAACCTCATCGTTCTCCAAGAAGCAGCTGTTGGGTTTGAACTACCAACCTTCGGGCCAGCAGTCCAATTCTTACCCAACAGTGCCAAGTGGGCCCCAATTAACATTTGCTGTCAAAGAGATTATCACTCAGAAGAGAGCTGCTCCATGTGGTTTCCAAGGCTGCAAACCTTTGTGGAAGCAGATGGACTCGTCTTTCTCTTGTGGAGCTGCCGACCTCTCTGTTAGCAGCCCAGCATTTATACCACCATGCAACCAGGGCTCCTTCCCCATCAATACCACACCCTTTTCTTGATCAGAACTCACTACATCTCTTCATCGCTAGAGGGGGCAGAATGGAGAACTGCAAAGCACGTAGTTTTTCAGGGAATTACCGGTACCATTATTTGACCTTGCTGGAAGTGCTTCTCAAAATCCCTACTTACAGAAGTCGTGTACGTTTGGCCTAGTTCAGAACTCAGTACAAACAGCGTTCTCCTGCAAGTGTTTGTTGAAAACAATCAAGAACCATTTAACAAAGCAATGTTGAAGGCAGCAAAAACGTTTGGAGCACACAAGAAGCTGACCAAACCAGCAAAAAGGCGAAGCTATGGCTCTGAAAGTCTCCACTTTATTCCTGGAAATATAAAGATTCACACCCTAGTATACAGCTGTATGTGAGCCCAGGAAAAAGGTGAGGAAGCCCTAAACTCAGTATTTGCTGACCTGGAGGCTCTGCACAAGCCGAAAGTAGCAGCGAGGAGAGAGCCGTGTTCAGTGTGCCCGAGTGTGGAAGGCAAACACACACACACACACACACACACACACACTAGGAGAGAGCCGTGTTCAATGTGCCCGAGTGTGGAAGGCAAACACACACACACACACACACACACACACAGACAGAACCTTTGGTAAAGGCTGGGAGCCTTTCTGGTTCCAAGCATTAAAAGAAATCTAATCACTGGCTGACCACTAAGCCTACTGTGCAGAAACTTCAGCGACCATTTAAACTATATCAACTTTGCAGAATTAGTCCAAGAAATCACCAAATAAACAGCAAACCACACAGATTGGGAAAGAACATGAGAGACATGACAACTAAATGCAATGTGGGATTCTGCATTAGACTTAGGGACAGAATAAGGTCATTTGGAAAACTAGTGGCAAAGTCCGCAGTTTATGGTAATTTTTCTGTGTTAACTTATTCGTTTGGGTAATCAGACTACCAGCAGGTCAACTGTTAATATCAGCAAAACCCCCTGAGGCAATGGCATATGGGAAGCCCATGTGGTGCTTTGGAACTCTTTAAATTTACTTTACCTCAAAATAACTTTTTTTTTTTTAATGGGATAAGAAGTTGAAAAGTAAGAAGTAAGAAGACGTTAAAATAGTCCATAATTTGGGTGCCAAACAGTTTACACCTGGTTATTAACCCAAGCCATGGTATTTCCAGTCTCCTCATATATGTGTGAAAGTTGGGCATGAAATAAGCAAAACTGAAGAAGAACTCAGGCCTTTGAATTATAGACCTGGCAGAGAATACTGTAAGTAGCATGGACTGCCAAAAGAACAAAGACATGTGTCTTGGAAGAAGTACAACCGGAATGATCCTGAGAGGCCAGGATGGTGAGACTTCATCTCATGTACTTGGGACATGTTGTCAGGGGAGACAGAAGGGCAGTGAAAAAGAGAAGACCCTGGACAACAGGGATTGACACAACGGGCTGAAACAACGGGCTCAACAGAGCAATGGTGAGGAGGATGCAGGATGGGGTCGTGTCTCCTCTTGTACACAGGGTTACTATGAGTCGGAACTGATCCCGTGGTACCCATCAGCAACCACAACTCACTTTGACTTCGGTTGTTCACCCCACCTAGTGGCACCAGGGAGGAAAGACCTAGCGATCGTTTTCCTGTGAAAGGTTTCCGGGGAAATCTATGCAGCAGGTCCGCTCTGCAGCATGTGGGAGCCAACTGACAGCAGTGAGCCTTTAAAACATACCTGACTTGTTTAACATGTAAAAATATTTGAAACTACTTTTTGGTACAATAAAAAAACTGTCAACAGTACTTAGGTCAGGAGAAGAAGGTGATGGCTGGGACAGTAAAGTCGTCTCTTACTCTTTAGACTTGACACTGAATCCAGTGAGTGTACTTGTGTATTATGTGCATTCAAATGTTAAAAAAACAACAATAACACAATAGGAAAAGACCTACGGTTTGCAATCAGTTTTTACAATAAAGACAAAAGAATACATTTAATTGCTCTCTGGGCCAGGAGGACAAAAATGCCGTGAGTCCCTGGAGCTGAATTGCTAGATGAGCTCAGAGCCCCTCCTGGCCACACAGACCAGTACACTGGGCGCCAGCGACCTTTGCTGTGCGTATGTTGAGTCTTCAGACTGCAGAGTGTACTTGGAGATTAGGATTTACAGCGGCGGTTCTCAATCTGTGGGTCACGACCCCTTTGGGGGTCGAATGACACTTTCACAGGGGTCACCCGATTCATCACAGTAGCAAAATGACAGCGATGAAGTAGCAATGAAAATAATTTTATAGTTGGGGGGTCACCACAACATGAGGAACTGTATGAAAGGGTTGCAGTATTCAGACGGTTGAGAACCACTGATTTACAGGGACTACTGAAAATGCTGAAGTTAATCATTTATTTTTGGAAATAAAGATTCCAGAGGACTCAAGTACTTGCACCTGAAAACAGGACAGTTCAAAGTCATTGAAAGAGTTGATTTCCCCAGACTTTGGGCCCTAACTGAGCAAGAGGGTAGGTACTCTTTCTGCTTCTACGTCTGAGGCAGCAGAAGTGTTTTGACAAGATCTCAGGTAAGTATTTATACTTTAGACTTACTGGTAGGGTTTCTAGTTCTGGCTAGTTAGAGACTGAAAGGGAACATCTCTGATATCTTGATGTTACAAAGAGGAAGCAGTTCACGGCTCTTTTCTTAACAGGACTTGGAAAAGCCACTTCATTTTCTGAACTGATAAAATATTAAATAAGAAGCAGTCCCAATTTCATTAGCTAAATTCCTATTTGTATTTTACTTAGAACACAATTTGCAGCTAGCCTAAGAAAGTCTTGTTCGAACTGTTATTCTGTGAAACTACTTTTTGAGTGGGGAATGTGCAGGTCACCAAAGTTTATTCCACCGAGGGACCCTGTCACATATGGTCGTTGCTGCCAAATCGAGTCTGACTCCTGGTAACACCCTTTGTCCTCGGTGGAAGTGCTGCACAGGTGGTCACCATTCATGTGGAAGATAGCCCTCAGACCTGTTATCTGAGCCCCTTTTGGGTAGGTTCCAGTAGCAACCTTGCACTAGGGTTGAATGCTTAACTGTTCAGGCTACCTGGGGACTTTGCCTAGTACTAAAATGCAGATAATTAATCCAGGATGTCAAAGATATAATTTTTCTCATTTAAATTTTCATGTTTATTTGCATACATTTCTATTTTATTTTGCTAGTGTCTATAGAATTTGTAATGATACCATATTTTTATTTTTAAGTATAGTTTTATGGTCATATAATTCATGTAGCTTACAATTCAGTGCTTAAAGACATTAAGAGAGTGGTGTATTCATTGCCCCCAAATGATTCTGAAACCTTTCCTTCATTCTTGGATGCATTATTAGCTCCCCATTTTCCTCAACCTCTCCTCTCATAACCATAAGAAACAGTCTAGTTGCTGTCTCTATAGATTTACTTATCTTGAGTTTCATGTGAAGAAAAGCATTCAAGTAAAAAAAATAAAATAGCAACAACCAAAGAATCAGCAACGGTAACAGAATAAAACACAGAAGAAGCTCAAGAGATCACAGAATGTAATATAAACTAGTACGAGTTGAAAACGAGTTAAAAGGAAAGACAAATGGTAAGATGTTAAATTTGACCTTAGCTACATCTGGGCTTTCTGCTCCCACAAACAGTTACAGTCTCAGGAACCCACAGGGGTTGCTGTGAGGCAGCACTGACAAATGCCAGTGAGTTCTGTCTGCAGCAATCCATGTTCTCCTGCTCTCTATCCAGGAGCAAGACTACTTATATTCTTGGTCAACGGGCCGAGGGAATTCATGGAAGATTTAGTGCATGTGAGAACTCTGTCAATGAGTGCTCAGAATTTAAGTTCTGATATAGTCTCTCCCTCTGATCTTGGATTTTATTGTTCACAAATCTTTGATCACATTGGTTGGTGTGCTTCTTTTGGGTGGACCTTGGCGACATCTCATTTAGATGGCTTCTTGTTCTAGTACAAGACTTGAGAGCCTAGCTGCTATTCTTTCTGATAGCCAGAAACCATCTGATTTCTTCACCACACTTTGTTTTCATACCTATATCTTCAGTGATCTCTTCACGAGGACAAGTTATCAAGTAGGGTCACATCATAAGAACGAATTGTTCTTAGATGAAGACTTATGATTAAGTGTGAGCTCAAAATCTACGCATCTATTACAGTTTATATATGTCCCTGGTCCACTTTAGAGATAACACTATCATTTTATTGGAGAATATTATAAATAATCCTTATGGGACAGAGGGTACTTCTATTAATAGTATTAATTTGGCCCATGGCATACAATTTAAGATACAATTTAGAAATGGAAAGTATGCACATCACAGCCCAATGTGTAACCACTATGAGGAGGTATGCATTCTGGTCTTGGTAATGTTAGACATTGCTGTTTGACTTTGAATGCTTCCACAGAGACTTGGAATATTGAAAGGAGTTGGCCAGGGCCTGTTTCTGCTCTAAACTCATTTGACACAAAGCTGCTTGGGACACAGACAATGTTCTATTTTGCATTGATTTCTTAGTAGCAAAACCTCTCTTTTGGCCCCTTGATAACAGCATATAGTTCTGCCTTTGGCACTTTCACCTTGAAAATCATACCGTAGAAAACAACACACAAAGAAGCGACTCCTGAACTTCACTTCAACTGTTAAACTTACTGAACAAATTGTCTGTACTTTAATTTTTAAGTTCCCGGATAGGACAAATGCTTGAACACGTTACCCCTAGCTGGAGGTTGACGGTAAACCCACCCAGATGTGCATCAGAAGACAGACCCGATGTTCTGCTTAGGAGAGCCTTGAAACCCCTCGCGGAGTAATTGTCCTCCGCACACATGGGGTCAACATGGGTTGAACTTGACTCACTAGCAACTAATAATCATTCATTCCTCAGCTCAGTTCCAACAATTTCTGCCTTTCCTGCTGCATGACAACAATTTTCTATAGGGGGAAATTTTTATGTGGTATAAATCCAAGAGTATCTGTAGGTAGTTGCCAGAAATCTCAGACTATTTAATTGGTTAAATCTTGTTGTGATACATATATACAACATGACACTTTCCATTTTAGCCTTTTTAAAGTTCAGAATTCAGTGGTATGCATTACATTTGCCATGTTGTACCATCACAACTATCTATTTCCAAAATTTTGTCATCTATCACTCTTAGCTGAAAGTCTATACTCATTAACAGAAAGACCTAAAAAAACGTTTTTTAAGGAATTGGTTTATACAGCTGTGGGGGCTGGCAAGTCTCTAATCCATAGTTTAATGTCAGGCTGGAAATTTTAGTCATCTTGATTGAGTCTAAATTGGTAGGCAGGCGGCAGGTTAGACTCATTAGCAAGATTTCCAATGCTCCATCTTGGAACCAACTCCCTTCTCTTTGGGAAGCCTCAGTTTTTGCTCTTAAAGCGTCCTCCCAGGAGGCATACCCACATTCCAAAAGGAAAAGGGAAGAACCCAAACCTGTTGCTGTCGAGTTGGTACTGATGCTGATGCTGATGGTGATGCTGATGCATGGCCTCCTCACATCCCACAGAGCAGAACTGAGCTCCACAGCATTTCCTTGGCTGTAATCCTCATGGAAGCTGGTCTCCTTGACTTTCTTTTGGGGCACAACTGAGGGGTTTCAAACCACCCACCTTTCATTGCAGAGCTGAGCACACAGGGCACCCTTCATGGGCTAATGTTTTCCACAGTTCACTCCTTTATTTAAAGTGGTCACGTACTGGAACATTTTGTCAATTGACAAGGGTAATTGATCTGGGTGCGCCACATGTTGTCATTTTGCAGTGACTGTGAAAACAGGTGAAACGCTTCACCACAGATTAGTAAATAAACACCCATGTTTACCCTGCTTACTGGGGACCCCATGCTGTCAGGGACTGCACATTTGAGAAGAGGCTGTGTGTGATTCCTTCTGTAGGAACGTGCACCTACTGCACCACCTAAAGTGATTGAAACCCAAACCTAGAGTGATTGAAACCCAAACCTAGAGTCTCATCCTACTGGAGTCCAACACACCGTGCAAGTGGAATTCCCAAACCTACAAGGGGACTGCTATACAGTGCAGGTATCCAGTGGAGCCGAACGGAGTCCTCCAGATTGGCGTGAGGGATGCACTAGACAGATCTTGAGGAAATTGGGAAGCGTGGACACTTAAAATCCTCTGAATCCTTCTTGGCATGTAGAACGAGGAGGTCAAGGTATAAGAGTTGACCTTAGCAGAGTTGGAGAATAACAATCAGGGAATCAAATCACACTTTCTGCAAGGGGGGATTATGCTATCTACCTTTGAACTTTAGGCATTATTCTTAAAAATTCATGTCTGTTGCTTCCTCTACTCTGGTTCATTGTCATTGTAAAACGTATCTACTAGCTTTAAGTCTTCTAGCAATCTATTGAAAACTCTCAGGTGTCTTTCATTAGAAAATTACAACAGGATATGTGTTAACTAACTGGAAAGTTTGGTTTGAATCCCAAGCGTGACACCTGGTCTGTTTTACCTTTCATTAGCCTTCTCAGCATACTTTTCATTCTCTTTTCTTTCTTTCTGAGATTTTACTGAAGACGTTCCAGAAGCATCCTCCAAGGATCAACATTGTTACAATGATTCAGCTGACAGCCACTCCTATAAGTGCACTTGCTGATGAGCCAATACACATCCAAGCCACAGGCCTGAATCCCTTGCAGATGGTGGTTTTTGAGGCATCCCTGAAAGATGAAAAGGAAAACCTATTTCATTCCCAAGCCTTCTACAGAGCCAATGAAGTTGGTGAGGTAGATCTGGAATGTGATCCTGCCCTTGGAGGTGATTATGTTGGAGTCCATCCTATGGGGCTTTTCTGGTCCATGAAACCCAAGAAGATAATGACTAGATTGTCAAAACGAGATGTGATAAATAGCCCCTTTCAGGTCCAGTTGAAGCTGTATAACTCAGATGACCTTCACATCAGGCTACCGTTAGCTGCTCCAAAGGCCAGTCTGACTGTGGAGAGGTGGTATGTGGCACCAGGTGTGACACGAACCCAAGTCCAAGAAGGTCGCATTCGGGGAGCCCTTTTTCTCCCTCCAGGTGGGTAGAATGACTGGCATCTTTGATTTTCCTCATTGAACTGCTTCATTCTCCTGGAAGTTTAGGTTAGAGCTGAATAATACGGTGAAGAGCACGTGTTTGATGACTGAGAGTGAAGGTTGACTTTGGATGGGAACAAGAATGCGGCCACACCACATGTCAGTTCAAGTTTAATCTCGACAATTCTGCAGCTGGTCTAAGGATGAAACTGCATATAGTTTAGGAGCCCTCTGAATTTGAAATGTCCATACACTTGGATTTATGAGAAATCTAACTGATTGAAGCTTGATTGTCTGCAGGTGTTCACTCTGAGAGCTTGGAACCATGTCCCAGGTCTCTCTGGAAGGCTGTTGTGTTTAAGACACAATTTAGACACAGGTCGGTGTGTAGCTGTCACAGTAAGGTAGTGGTACAGTGAAGGGAAAGGCCGCAACAAGAGAGAGGAGACAGAAAGATTTATACCCTTCCTTCCATTAATACATATTTACAGAATATTGCATAAACAGTAAACAATATAGTATGTTCGCTAATGGCTAGAAGATTTACCAAAATACTCAGTTTCTCAGAGTGAAATCTATTTACCAATTATTCTAAAAACTTGTTCAAAACATCTGTTGATACACGTCTCAGCGTTTATTATAGGACTGAATGAAGCAATGTTATTTCCCCCAAAGTAGCCTTCAGTAGGCCAGGTGTCAGGTCTCTCTCACATATACTTTGATCTGGATACAGTCATCACTCACCAGGATATACTGATTCTGTTTATTAGGTTTTATTTTTAATAGTCCACTTGCAGAGCTGAGATGGGTGGAATAGGCCTGAAGGTTCAGGGTTTGTGACAACATGTAATTACACATGGCATAAGGAGTAAATTATCCCTTTTCCAAATTTACTCTAACTCATGGCCTTTTCCAGAAAATCTGTTGTTTTGTTAATTCTAACAATTAGTATATGGACTATTTTATTGCACGGGGGCCCAGGAAGTAAGTGACCTAAACTTCAGTAGGTGCTTATTCTGAGGGGACAAGAGGTTAGGTTGTATGGGGACCTACCGTGGTGGAGTTAGGTCTGAAGGCATTTCTCAACTTCAGCTTTCTTCTCAGATAAGGAAGGCAAGACATTTCAACGCTTCCCAAATCCTGCTCATCAGAAAGTGCTAAAGCATATTTACCCATTTACTCACACAGCAATTTTAAAGAATTGTTGGAAAAATGTGTAATGCAACATTTGATAATTCAGTATTTTTTCACATATGCAATGGAGTGACACCAATTACATTAACATATTCTTTTTTTACATTAACATATTCTTTACCCATCACCAAAATTTTTGCCAAATTTCCCATCACCATAAACAGAAACAATGCTTTCTAAAAAGTAACTCACCCTTCTCCATCTCTCCTGCACCAGGTAACCAATAATAAACTTTCATGTCTGTATATTAAATGATACTTTTAAACCAAAATATAGTTTATATAGTTTTAGTTCTTTTTTTTTTTTTTTTACAAAAATTTTACAGACAGTTTTAGTTCTTTTTTTCCCCTCAAGATGATATAATCATAAAATTATGGGTATTTAGGGAAATTTCACAATAGGCTTTTTACATCAAGCCATGCTTTCAGTCATGGATAAGTCCAATCTTCTATCCCAAACCACTTATATAAACATATAGTACCCCCAATAAATGCATCATAAGCTTCTTTCAGTTCTACTATATTGTGTAAACAAGCAGCCCCACACAGAGTGGGTGTAAATTAACAGCCTGGCTATGATTATTTTTCTTCCATGAATTAGGCTGTAGTGAATGCACAGTGTTATTGCTTGGAAGGACTCACTACTCATAAATTCTTACATGTGAGATTTCATGTCTGTACAGTCAGATAGGTGCAGTAGAGCTCCTGATTTTATGTGGCATACCGTTTCAAAACCATTCTGTGATATGTCGGTGAGCCCCACAGACCGTTCACTGGTAACTTGCAGGGTGTCTTAGTTACCTAGTGCTAGGATAACAGAAGTGCCACTAGTGGGTGGTATTACCAAACAAATCTATTCTCACTTGGTCTAGGAGGCTAGTAGTTTGAATCCAGGGTGCTGGCTCTATAGGAAAACACTCTCTCTCTCTCTCTCTGTAGCGTCTAGCGAAAGGTTCTTGTCTCTTTTGTTTTTATTCCTGGGCTCCTTGGAGGCCAAGGGGGCACTGCTGGGTAAGCACTGAGATCACTTGCTTCTGTAAAGATTTACACCTGAGACACTCTATGTAGGTGATGCGATTCACATGGTCCGGAGTTCGAAACTGCTAGCCACCCTGCACAAGAAAGACGGGGCTTTCTACTCCAATAAGGAGTCCTCACTACCATCAATTCAATTCAGACTCATAAAGACCCTTTAGGACAGGGTGGAACTACCTCTGATGGATTCCCAAGACTGGAACTCTTTTTAGGAGCAGAACTGCCCTATAGAGTTTTAATGAGGCGGCATCAACTCGATGGCAGTGAGTTCAGTTTTGGTTTGGTGGATCCACAATCAATGCTCGTGGAAGCTGCATCTAAGAGCTCAATCCACACCCTGCATTGGGTAAATCTGCTACACAAGAACGCTTTAAAAATGTTGAAAATTAGTATGCTACTTTGAGAATTAAGGTGTCCCTGACCCAAGCCACAGTCTTTTTAATGGCCTCATATGCATGTGAAAGTTAGATACTGAATAAGGAAGACCGAAGAAGAACTGATGCATTTTAACTATGGCACTGGTGAAGAATATTGAAAGTACCATACATAGACTGACAAAAGAACAAACAAATCTCTCTTGGAAGAAGTACAGCCAGAATGCTCCTTAGAGGCAAGGATGGTGAGACTTTATCTCAGTGATTCTCAACCTTCCTAATGCCGTGACCTTTTAATTCAGTTCCTCATGTTGTGGTGACCCCCAACCATCAAATTATTTTCATTGCTACTTCATAACTGTTATTTTGCTAGTTATGAATCGTAATGTAAATATCTGATATGCGGGATGTATTTTCATGGTTACAAATTAAACATAGTAATGAAAGCATAGTGATTAATCACAAAAACAATATATAATTCTAGATTGTTAAATATTTATTTCTAATGACAAATGAATGAAATGTTGTCTTGAAGCATGGTGTAGCATGGGTAACAGTCTTTACACCAGGTACTCGTATGTGGGTGCATCTGCATGTGGGTGGACCACCTGGAGACGGATAAAGATTTTCTGATGGTCTTCCCTGTGAAAGAGGCATTTGACCCCCAAAGGGGTCGCGACTCACAGGTTGAGAACCACTGCTTTATCTCATACTTTGGACATGTTGGCAGGAGAGACCAGTCCCTGGAGAAGGACACCATGCTTGGCAAAGTGGAGGGGCAGCAAAAAGGAGGAAGACCCTCACCGAGATGGATGGACACTGTGGCTGCACCAGTGGGTCAAGCATACAACAATTGTGGGGATGGCTCAGGATCAGGTGGTGTTGCATTCTGTTGCACATAGGGAGCCGACTCTATGGCACCTACCCCACCCACCACCCCCCACCCCAACATAGGATTTCTACCGCTGTGATCTTAACGGAAGCTGACTGCTACAACTTTCTCCAGCAGAGCATCTGGTAGATTAGAACTGCTGACCTTTTAACCTTTGTGTAACCCACAGCTCCTTAACCACAGATTTAGGGACTCATAATACATAGACTTGGGGGACAACATTCAGTTAATCGGACGCACATATACCATATTTTGCATGTGATTTCCAACAGTCACAGACTTCCGTAGCTTCTGCACCTTTTCAAAAGTTAACAAGACCCATTTAAGGTTAAAATTTAGCACCCTGTCATTTGAATTTCATTATGATCCATTAGAATTTGTTCTAGTTTTTAGTATTTTCTGCTTTCTTCTTGATTGAGGCTTCTGTCTGTTTTACTCTGCTATTCTTGTTAGTTTTTCTGAATTGTTCTGATTGTTTGTTTGTTGGTTGTGTTTTTCCACACATGAAATCCAGGAGAGGTCAATCAATAGAGACAGTAACTGGATTAATGTTCCCTTGGGGGTCTGGCAGGCGGCTGGGGGAATGGGGAGCTACTGCTCACGAGTACCTGATTGAAGACACTGGTGTAAAGCTGACTGTGGCGATGATTGTACAACTCTTCTTGGTGTGGTTGAATATTGAATTGTATAAGTGAATTCTATGCCAATGCAACTGTTAGGGAGAAGGAACCCCCCCAAAAAAGCATTGTTTTCATTTCAAGGCTTTCTTTACGCCAAGCATCTAGAAAGGGAGCGCTCAGAGTGGCATTCTTTCTGGCTGCGGGGATTAAACGTGCCTGTGAAGGTGAGTTCCCATCAACGTTTGGATACTGGGTTCCGTGATCTAGTTAGTACACCTTCATTCTCCCACAGACACCAGGCCCAGCCTTTTGGAATTGGGTTTGAAAATGTACAGACAAATTCCGAAATTTGTGGTTGGTTTTTCACCTTGTTCTCCTGTGGTCATTCTCCTTCTCTCTTCTCCCCCATCCCGCGGTGTCTTCCTGCAGGAGATGGGCCTTTCCCCGGAGTGCTCGACTTGTTTGGCACTGGTGGCGGCCTGATGGAATTCCGGGCCAGTCTCCTGGCCAGCCATGGCTTTGCCTCCTTGGCTCTGGCTTACTTTGGCTATGCAGACCTGCCTCCCCAATTAGAAAAAATCGATTTGGACTATTTTGAGGAAGCTGCTAACTTTCTTCTGAGTCATCCTAAGGTAATTTTTGCCTTTTCTCTAGGTTTCAGCACATTTCAAAAGAACATAATATTGCATGGTCAGATTCCTTTTTACTTCCAAGTATGAGTCTCCTTCAGTAAATTAGACACATATGCACATGTGTCAATAAAATAAGTGTACAAAATAACAGAAACATATTTTTAGCATAAACATTTATTTATTTTAAAATCATTTTATTGGGGGCTCGTACAACTCTTAGCACAATCCATCCATCCATCCATGGTGTCAAGCACATTTGTACATTTGTGGCCATCATCATTCTCAAAACATTTTCTTTCTACTTGAGCCCATGGTATCAGCACCTCATTTTTCCCCCTTCCTCCCCCACCCTCCCTCTCTCACAGACCCGTGGTAATGTAGAAATTATTATTATTTTTTCAGATCTTACACTGCCCAATGTCTCCCTTCACCCGCTTCTCTGTTGTCGTCCCCCAGGGAGGGGGTTATATGTAGATCCTTGTGATCGGTTCCCCCTTTCCACCCCACCTTCCCCTACCCCTCCTGGTATCTCTTCTCTCATTATTGGTCCTGAGGGGTAGAAGCATTTGTTAAACAAAAATTTTAATATATGAAGTCATTGTTTCTTGACATCTCTCCAACTCTGTTCTAGAGGTGGCGTGTTTCCATCTCTAACTCTTCCCTGAAGAATTCTTTGTCAAAACAACTGCTTTGGCATCCTTGAGAAACCCCCATCACGTTCCTTCCAATGTCCTTTGGGGTTTAGGGGAACAAACATAAGTCCAAAGGGCCAAGATCAGGGCTGGAGGGTGGAGGCGGTAAAATTTCCCAAGGAAATTAAACTAGGCTGGCCCTTGCTATGGTTGAAGAATTAGCAGGCTCATTGTTGGGATAGGGGGGAAAATTCCTCCCTGAAAATTTCCTGGTCTGGTTCTCACCAATGCAATTTTCAATTTTTAAAAAACATCTACGCAATAAGGCCCCATGATTATCCTATGCCCTTGAAAAAAATCTGTGAACAATCCCCCAAAGCATTCACCATAACCTTGGGTGACCTCTATGCCTTGAGTGTAACTGGCTCAGCAGATCCCCTAAGAATGGAGCTCTGCTGGCAGTTCTTTTGGAAAGCAACCACCAGAGACAAGATTAAGACACATGCCTCACTGAGAGAACTTTTCTATAGTCATCTCCTGATAGCAGGGAACACTCAAACTTACTGCCATGGAGTCATGGTAACTCATAGCCACCCTCTAGGACAGGGTAGAATTGCCCCTGGGTTTTCAAGATTGTCACTGTAGAAAGCCCATCTTTCTCCCATGGAAGAGCTGGTGGTTTCAAACTGCTGACCTCATGGATCCTAGCCCAACATGTAACCACTATGCCACTCTACTGATAGCAGAGCCAGGTTTAACTGTGTTTTGTTTGGAATAAAACTCATGCAGATATGAACTGGAACCCAACTTTTTCTTTCTTTCATTTTTCCAATGAGTTATTTTGAGTTAAGTCATGATTCAAGATCCTAGGAGAGAAGTGAGGAGGGCCTGTTCCGATCTTCCCATCGTCCCAGGTAGGCACCCAGAATTTGGGGCAGAGGGACTTGTACAGGCACTGATATCACTGACCTATGGAGACATCACACCTTTTGGCATTGGAAGCCTGGGCAGTCTGCCAGCAATTCCTGGTTTGGTTCTGGTTGGGGCTGTCTGAAGGGTCAGTTTGGTAGTTTTTGATTTTGGTCTTGATGTCTTCTGTCATGGTGATAGCTCCTAAAGATGCCCCTGAAAATGCTGGCAGCTCAATGTGCTAGCAATATTTTTTTACTTACATATATATATATTACATATATATCACATAACTGAAACTATATTTTTTATTGCAAGACATAAAATTTCAGAGATCAAAGGGATTTAAAACATTTTTTATTTGGGTGAAAGTTTACAGAGCAAGTTGGTTTTCCATTCAACAATTCATCTGCTTTTTGTTTTGTGACATTGATTGCAACCCTAGAATATAACAAGTTTCCCCACTTCCTCCTTGTGTTTACCTTTCTCATGCCTCTTTCATTCCTATTACTTCTTGCCTTCTGAGCTGTATCACTGGGCAAATCCTGCCCTTTTGGTCTGACATGGTTTTTCTAAAGAGCATGTACTTTCTGTATGTTATTGTTCAACTGACAGGGCTGTCTACTGTTTGGCTGACAGTTGAGCTTATATAAGTGTCATTTTTGTTAGGTGCCATCAAGTTGGTAGTGATACTGAGAGGGCCTATGTACAACAGAACAGAAAATGCTTGTTCCTATGCCATCCTCACCATCATCATTGTTTGAGCCCAGTGTTGGGGCTGTTGTGTAAATCTAGGAAGAATACTGACTGGCTTCTTCTTTTCCTTCACTGGTCTTCTGCCTTACTAAGCATGGTGCCCTTTTTCAGGCCCTGGTCTCTTCTGATAACAGGTCCGATATAAGTGAGGCAAAGTCTCCCTGTCCTTGTTTCTAGAGATCATTCTGGCTGAATTTCTTCCAAGACAGATTTTTTTTTCTGGTGGTCCATGGTGCTTTCAATATTCTTTGTCAATACCATGATGCAAATGCATCAATTCTCCTGCAGTCTTTCTTACCCATTGCCCAACATGTGCAAGCATATGAGGCAATCGAAAACACCATGAACCGGGGCAGGTTCATCAAAGGCTTCAAAGGACAGTTTTGCTTTTCAACACTTGGAAGAGGTCGTGGGAAGCAGATTGCCCAATGCCATATGTCGTTGGAAATCCAGACTGTTGCTTTATCAGCATTGACTGTGCTTCCCACCCTGCTCCCCCTCCCCCTTGAACCCTTGAAACCAATGAAATCATTGACAACTCTGATCTTTTCTCCATTGATCATAATGTTGTCTATTGGCCCAGTCTGAGAATTTTGGTTTTCTTTACACTGAGTTGCAATCCACACTGAAGACTGCAGCCAGGGATCTTCATCAGCAAAGGTTTCAAGTCCTCCTTGCTTTCCGCAAGCAAAGTGGTATCACGGGTGTATCGCAAGTTGTTAATAAGCCTTCCTATAATCCCGAGGCTGAATTCTTCTTCATAGAGTCCAGCTTTTCTGATGATTTGCTCCTCGTACCGATTAAGTACGGTGAAAGGATACAACTCTGACCCACACCGTCTCTTTCCATAGAGGTAATACATTTGATCCCTAGATATCCCCTCTGGTGTGGTCTATGCGGACAGTCACCACATGAAACAGGTATTTTCAATGCAGAAGCTGTTGGTCTTATGAAGTTCAAACGTGATCTTCAGCTCCGTTTCGATCACCAAGGCCATATTGGCTAACAACTGCTCCTTCCTCTGTGTTTCCAACTTTTGCATGCCAATTACCAATAGTGATCAATGGATATTGATCGCATATTTGACTAATTTAAACCTGAAGAGTTTGGTAGAAATTTTCAATTTCTTCATCACTAGCTTTAGTGGTTGCTGTGTAAATTTGCACAGTCGTTGTATTAACTGGAATTTTTTAAAAACATCATTTTACTGGGGGCTTGTACAACTCTTATCACAATCCATCCATCCATCCATTGTGTCAAGCACATCTATACATACATTGCCATCATCACTCTCAAAACATTTGCTTTCTACTTGAGCCCTTGGTATCAGCTCCTCCTTTTTTCCCTCCCACCCTGCTCCCCCTCCCCCTTGAACCCTTGATAATTTCTAAATTATTATTATTTTGTCATATCTTACACCATCCGGCATCTCCCTTCACCCACTTCTCTGCTACCCATCCCCCAGGGAGGAGGTTATATGTAGATCCTTGTAATCTGTTCCCCCTTTCTCCTTCACCTTCCCTCCACCCTCCAGGTATTTCCACTCTCATGACTGGTCCTGAGGGGTTCATCTGTCCTGGATTCCCTGTGTTTCCAGTTCCTATCTGTACCAGTGTACATCCTCTGGTCTAGCCGGATTTTTAAGGCAGAATTGGATCTGATACTGTAGGGGGGGTGGGGGGTGGGGCGTCGGGAGCATTCAAGACCTAAAGGAAAATTGTATGTTTCATCATTGCTACACTACACCCTGACTGGCTCGTCTCCTCCATGTAGCCCTTCTGCAAAGGGATGTAACTGACTTGAATGAATATAGTGTTATATATATATATATTGAGCCCCTAATAAAATGATTTAAATAAATATATATTTAAATCATTTTATTAGGGGCTCATAGAACTCTTATCACAATCCATACACACATCAATTTTGTAAAGTGCATTTGTACATCATTCTCAAAACATTTTCTCTCCACTTAAACCCCCTGGCATTAGGTCCTCATTTTTCAATCCTTGGATCACACAGGCTGGTGTGCTTCTTCCATGTGGACTTAGTTTAACTGACACCTCACTTAGATGGCTGCTTATTTGAAAACAAGCTTTTAAGATGCCAGACATTATTCTTTCTGATAGCCAGACATTATGTAGTTTTTTCACCACATTTAAAAAAATAATAGCATCCATTATCTTCAGTGATTTCTTCTGGGGGGTGAGCATCAGGCAGGGGCATGTCAGAAGAACTACTTGTTCTTAGATTGGAGCTAGAATTAAGTGCAAACACAAAATCCATTCCTGCATCTATAGTTTATATACATTTCTTTGGTTCACCTTAGAGACATTGTCATTGTGTGTTACAGAACAGTATCAATCAACTTCCGGAGCATCACCCTTAACTGGAAACTCTAAGTATTTTGTCTTCTTTTCTTCTTCCTGCTCATCTGTCTTCAAAAGCAAATCAAAGCCCACTGCCACTGAGTCCATTTCACCTCTTGGCAACTCAATATAGGGTTTCCAGGGCTTTGTAAATCTGTACAGGAGTAGACAGCTTCCTCATTAGCCTGTGGAGCAGCTGGTGGGGCTGAACCACCAACCTTCTGATAATAGTCCAATGATTACCCATCAGTACCACCAGGGATCCTGATCTGGTAACCACTACTGAACTGAATTTCTACATCTTTCTAGATATTTAATATAAATGGGATCATACAATAATTGTGTTTTTGTGACTGACTCATTTCATTCAGCATATTTTCCAGGTTTATCCAGGTATCAGGATTTCATTTCCCTTTATAACCAAGCAATACTTCATTGTAGACACTACTTCGTGTACACACTACTATTTAGCCATTCATCTGTATATGGGCATTTAGATTGCTTCTTTTGCTATTGCATATAGAGCTTTGATGAACATTGTGCACATCTCTTTACATTCTGTTTAATTCATTTGAGTGTATGTGTTAGAGTAGAGTTGCTGAATCATATAGTAAATATATGTTTAACTTTTAAATAAATTGTTGAATTCTTCCATGTTGGCTGTATCATTTTATGATTCCACAAGCCATGAAAGAGTGTTCTAATTTGTTCACATCTTCATCAACACCCTTCTTTTTTCCCATTGGAAGAGGTTTTTTGTTGATTCAAATAAACTCCTCTTAATGAATTTTTTAAAATCGTGGAGAAATAGAATGGAAACATAATGGATTTTTCCCACAAACATTTTGAAGCCCCACATATGTAGGGCAGAAAATGGATAGTATGGATGGCTCCCTCAATCTGCCTAGATTACTTTCCCTTGTACTAGGAATCTCTGTTTCTATCAGCTGAGTATACTTGACACAGTCATGCATCTTTTTCTAAGAAACAAAACAAAACAAACACTCATGGAGACCCAATTGTCTTATTTTTCTAACAAGAGATTAAGTTCGGTTTTAGAGAACAGACAAGGCTCTTGGGCATCCCATCCTGCAGACAGTCCATACTCAAGTGAGATTGAGCCCTTACTTTGAGCCACAAAGAAACTTTAACTCCTCTCTCCACATCACACCACCGCTGCCTCCCTCTTAGGTCTCCAATACTAAACTGGTGGCCGCATGATGTACATTTTACACTTATAAATAGCTGATGAACATGCTGCTACCTGTTCATCCTCCCTGGTGCCATCTTTTCTTGCCTGCACCATTGAAACCAACTGGCTTTTCTGTCTCACTTTTTGCAAGTCAGACACAGAGGTGTAAAAGTGGGATTTGTCGAGCAGTGATTTTCCTCACTTGTTTAAGACGCTCTTTCACTCACCATTGGATAAAAGCTAGGCTTCTTAGCATGTCCTATAAAATGTTTTGTGATATGGCCTGTGCATAATTCTTCATCTTTTTTATGTGCTCATCCTTCAGACTTTTTTCCTGATCCCTTGCTGCCGTTAGGAAGCGAACTCCTGTTGCTTAGTGTGCTTTGCAACACTAATAATCAGGTTGATGTTTTGCTTTTCTTCCCTCCCCCCACCCTCCCCCAGCCTTATTTTGCCACTTCTCAACTTCAGCTCTGAACTCAAGGAGCTGTGGTCCCTCCGAAGCACTGCTCTTCATTCCTTCTGAATTTTTGGACTGGTCCCAAGGTCGAATCTCTTGGGAATGTTTCAGCTATAAGTGGCGGATGGTGGCCTAGACATCAACTTAGGTATTTGATTCTGTCATGTGACAGAAGATAGAGACAGAAGTGATTCCCGCTTTGGCTCAGAACCTTAGTGTTACCAGGAAGGTGGATTGAGATTTCTCTTTCAAATGTTTTATTGGCAAGTGATTTACATATCATATAATTCAATAGTTCAATCATTCAATCATATCACGGAGAATTGTACAAGCACCCCCACATCAATTTTAGAGCCCCCCCTCCCCCATCATCAAATTGCCTTTAAGGTGATTTCTACAATCACATGGATTAATATTTCTATAATTTCCTGACCCTGCTCTCATAATCATACTCATAGTTTGAGAAACAATAATGTTGCATTTTAATATTTTTGATGAATAAAGATAAAGATTGATAAAGATTTCTATGATTTTATACTAATGGTTTTAAAATTATCCTTGTATTTTTAATATAATGGCTGAGTCAATGGGCTATTTTCTATGAGAATCTTTCTTTGATCCTGCCGTTATTTTCTGCCTATCTGCATAGGTTTTGCTACAAGCATTCTAATCTCATAGGATTTGCAAACGATTGCAATCTTTTTCTCTCTCTCTTTCCGCCCCCTGTACCTCAGCAGCAAATGACAGTGTGTTCCTTAATAATGAGAGGGTGCCTTTGCTCAAGAAGCTGGGCTCCCAGGACTTGACGGAGGATGGATGATATGCAGATACTTGTCGGATGACTGACAGTGAGAGGGAAAGCCCAGCCACGGCCCCTTCTTTATGAAATCTCTCTTTTGGGAAACAAACCAAATTAGTCTAGAAACCTTTAAGTTTTCAGGGTCTGTACTACAAATCAGCAGGCCCGAGAACACAGCAGTTAGCCCTGTAGCTGCTAACTGAGAGGTCTGCAGCTCCAACCCACCAGTGGAGAATATGTGACAGTTCTCTCCCATGAAATGTACCGGCCTTGGGAATCCTTTGGGAGAGGTCCACTCCATCATAGAAGGTGACTACAGGTCGGAATGAATGACAATTGCTGTTTTGTCTTGTTTTTGTTTTATCCTACTGATCTTGCCTTCTTTCTAATGTTCCATTTCATCTGAGCTTTGAGAGAGCTCAGCATTGGCGCAAAAAAAAAAAATACAGCTTTCAGTTATACCCTGCCTCATGTCATTCACAAGAGAAATGTGCTCAAACCCCTTACTGTATCTAATACATTGGTGGTTAGTTAGGGCATCTAAAATTCACCATCTAACACAATGTTGAAGGAATTGTCTTCAGTAGGTCAAGCTGGACATTTATTTGAGGGTGGCGTTCCTTTGAGCATGCCTTAAATATTTCAGAATGCTTGAGCTGGGCTTCTTGGGATTAATACGTGGCCATTGAAGTTCCTCAGTAGTTTGACATTGTGGGAATGTGCGACCTGAAGGATACTATCAATCTCTCCTTTCCATTACTTCCAGGTCCTTGGTCCAGGCATCGGGATTGTCTCCTTGTGCAAAGGAGCAGAGATCGGGCTCTCCATGGCAGTTCACCTAAAGCAAATCACTGCTGCTGTGCTTATTAATGGGCCCAACTTTATTTTCTCGCACCCTCACGAATATCATGGTCAGGTCTTTCAGGCCTTGCCCATTCCATTACATTTAGTATCCATAAATGCCTTAGGATTACTAGAGTTTTGTAACTCTTTTGGGGACCCTCAAGCGGAGGGCAATAGACGTTTTCTCTTTCCCATTGAAAAGTCCCAGGCACAATTCCTCTTTATTGTGGGAGAAGAAGATAAGACTCTAAACAGCAAAGCGAGTGCGGAAGGTGCCATCGAACAGCTGAGGTGCAATGGGAAGAACAATTGGACCTTGCTGTCTTACCCTGGGGCCGGCCACCTGATAGAACCGTGCTACGCACCACTGTGCTCTGGCTCCTGGTGCTCCAACCTTCCCATTCTCTGGGGAGGAGAGGTGATCCGTCATGCCTCTGCACAGGAACACTCTTGGAAGGAGATCCAGAAGTTTCTCAGGAAGCATCTCATTCCAGGGCAGCCCAGCCTACTCTGAGGAGAGTAGATACACCTGTCGGGAGAGACTTTAGGAGGGCTTAACATTTTGGGGAAAAGTAGAATTAGAAGACAGTGGAGTATTTCCACGAATTTTCTGAAGCCCCCTATAGACAAGGAAATCTGTAAACAAGCTCCTTCCCTTTATTTTTGTGAAGGAATCTCTTTGCTTTATGATTCTAAGATGAAAGCTATAGCAAGAAGCCAGAGCAACTGAAATGGTATTGCTAGAGGGGTGATAGAGTTAGTTTGCTGGTACTCAAACACTGGAAATGTAACCTAAATTGGGACTTGGTCTGTTGAGATTTAGTTTGTTAAAAGGGACTGACGATGTAAGAGCCCCCTCCTTTATAGTAAAAAAATTCCTTTTAAACCTGTTAATTATTTAAGGCCTGGGCCTGTTTCAAAACCTGTTAATTAGTCAAGGGTGGTATAATTCAGGAAAGGAGAATTGGTGTTGGGGTGGGGGGGGGGCGGGGGGGGGGCAGGAGGCTTCTGTGCAGCAAGATTTGGTCTCTACAATCCCCTTGCGTTGCTGCAGCGCACCTGGGGGGCGGGGGGTGGGGGGAGCAGCATTGCGATAAGCAGTGGAGCCTGCAACCTTAGTGGGTACTGGTCTGAGGTTTCCTTAGGGGATAACCATCTGACAGCTTTTGGAGTAATGAAGATATCCATTGTTGGTCTGTTAGTCCCTTGGGGGACTAACTGTTTTCTTGTAAATCTTGCTCCCATTTGTTCTGTTGCTTAATAGCCCTCTGATGATTGAAAACCCTGTTAATTACCTCCAGGGATTATTGCAAAGCCTGTTTCTTGTCACATAGTTGAAGGTATATAACTCGTTTGATTTTGACTAAATTTAGAAGCAGTTCAGAGGTGGCAAATCCTATGGTTTCCGTCTGTCAGCACATGCAGAAATAAATGTAGGATTTAAAAAATCAACCTGGTTTCTATCTTTTGGCTACAATAGTGACAAGCTCCCCCAGGCCCTTACGAGGAAGGAATATTTTGGTGACCATGAACTGGACCCACAGGACTTTCCACCCACTGGCCTGTGATCTTCCTCCATTCAGCATCATTACACATGTTGCGTGACTCTGAAGAGGAACTTATAGACTGGTGTGTTAGACAGGGTTCTCTAGAGAGATAAAACCAAATTCCTAATAATATAATATATTTATTTATAAAGATAATTAGATATATAACGAGAAATGAACTGTTAAATCATATACAGATAAATATACAATATAAGAAATAAACAGTTAAATTAGAAGCACTATAAACGGCTTAGTGCAACTCATGTCCGTGAGAGAAAGTTGAGAGACTAGCAGTCCTTCAAGTCTCTATCTGATGCCAGATCTTCCTCTATTTGTAGAGAGAGCTAGGCTATGTCAGCACAGCAGCCAATCACAAGGCAGGTCACCAATCGCCAGTCCCCAGCTCCAGAGAAGTCTTAAAGGGACCTCAACTTACAGCAACACAGTCCACAGGCTAGGCGTCCCACAGGCAGTGTAGCCTTTAAATTGAGGCACAGAACAAGCTAGGCAGCCGCACACTGGTCCGATGATCACAGAGCGAGAGACAAGAAAGGCAAGGCTCACCAAACCATCCATCTCTCCGCCCCTCAGTCAATCCCACCTGCGTCTATCAGCCAGGCTGGCACAATAAACTATCTCAACTGGTATCGGACATATGGGCTAATACTGGACTTATGGACTTGATCTGGACTGGGCTAGGATGTTTTCTTAATATACAAGTACTCTTTGATATAAAGCTCTCTTGTACACACACACACACACACACACACACACACACACACACACAGAAAGTATCCCAGGCCAGTCCAACTCAAGTCCATAAGTTCGATACTAGTCCATAATCTGTCTTCAGACTCACACAGCTCCATGCAATAATGCAGAGTGCAAGAAGATCACAGGTTGGTGGATGCAAAGTCGTGTGGATCCAAGGTCAGTGGAAACATGGCAGGGCTCCAGCAGCATTCAGGGTGGCCAGCAAGCAGGAAGTTCAAGGCAGAGAGACAGGGGGAGTTTCCCTGGACCCTCTTTAGGAGAAGGCCACACCCACAGAGGTACCATTAGCTGTGACCTGATTGACAGGTTGAATACCATCCCTAAACTTGTATATCTTCAAGTCCACATGAAATTATGTAACCATCGCACTGGGTCTGGAGAAGAAAGCAAATATGAGGGAAGACAGACACCACGCCACATGAAGATCATCAAGGAATTGAGGAATAGAAGCTGAAAAGACACAGGGATCTTCTCCTACAGCCAACAGAGAGAAAGCCTTCCCGTAGAGGTGGTGTTTTGAATTTGGATTTCTAGCCTCCTAAACTATAAGAAAATAACTTTATTGTGTTAAAACCACTCACTTGCTAGCCTATGCTGGTCTAATATCCTTCTCTCAACATTGTTTTAAAAATTAGTACCAGGAGCTAATTCATGACACTATTAACAGAAAATCCTTATGTTCCAGGGAAATGATCAATAAAATCATCTCTACCATAAATTAACATGGAGACCTCTAAGCTATAGACAAAGGCAAATAAAAAGCATAGATCCAGGAATGGATCTTACAACATGGCCCTGCTCAATACTCCCCCTCATGAAGGAAACATAGAAGGTGTGAGAAAACTAGATGGTGCCCGGCTGTTAGAATAGTTTCTGGGGTCTTAAAGTCTTGTTTCCAAACAAGCAGCCATCCAAGTGACATGTCACCTAAGTCCACATGGAACAAGCACACCCACATCTGTGACCCAAGGATTGTAAATCATATAATCCAAAACAGAGGGAGGAACTAGAATATTAGAGTTTAAATTGTGAGACTCTGGTTTGCAAAAGGTTATGGATGACAGTGGAAGCTCAAGATACATTTGTAGGATCTACACAGAAAATAAGCTTTCATAGAGTAAAGATGTCAATCTCACCCACGGCATTATAAAGTTTAATGCTATCCCAATCAAATACCAACAGCCTTATTCAAAGAATTGGAAAAACTGACCAGCAATTTCTTATGGAGAGGGAAGAAGCCCAGAATCAGGAGAGAACTCCTCAAGAAGGACAAAGTCAGAGAGCTTGCCTTACCTGACTTTCACGCCTGCTACACAGCCACAGTGGTCAAAACAGCATGGTACTGGGATAATGACAGCTACTCAGACCAATGGAAAAGAACAGAAAACCCAGGAATAAAACCGTCAGCATACAGACAACTGATCTTCAATAAGGGCCAAAAAGGCTCAGGTGGGAGGTGGACGCCCTCTTTAACAAGTGGTGCTGGAAGCAATGGATATCCACCTGTAGAAAAATGAAACAAGATCCTTACCTTGCCCCATGCACAAGAAGAATCTAAAGGTGGATCACAGACCTAGATGTTAAACCCCGACAAACTATCAGGACCATCAACGAAGGAATCAGGACAAACCTAAGAACTTTGGCTCAGGGAATACATAGGCTAACTGCATAGGGAAGGGTACACACAGGTGAACCTGAAATCGACAAGTGGGATATATTTAGGATAAAACATCTGTGTGTGTGTAAAGGCTTCACCAAGAGGTTAACAAGGCAACCCACAGACTGGGAGAGAATTTTTAGCAATGACACAACAGACAAAGGGCTTATTACTAAAATCTACAGTACCCTCCTGGCCTGCAAAAGAGGAAAACAGTTAACCCCTGAGGAAGCAGGCAAAAGACCTGAACAGAAGTTTCACTAGGGAGGAGACCTGAATGGCCAATAAACATATGAGAAAGTGCTCCTGACCATTAGCCATCAGAGAAATGCAAATTAAAACAACTTTGAGATACCAGCTAACAAACACCCTTGGGGATAGCACAAATCAGACAATCAGAGAGCAACAAATGTTGGAGGGATGTGGCAAGATAGGAACTCTCCTCCACTGCTGGTGGTCAGGTAGATATGTACAGCCTCTGTGGAAAGTGATCAGGCAATATTTACAGCAAGTGGAAATTGAGCTACCTTATGACCCAGCTATCCCTCTGCTGAGCATATACCCAGAAGAGGTAAAAAATAGACCACAACCAGTCATCTGCACTCCACTGTTTATTGTGGTTCAATTCACAATCGCAAAGAGTTGGAAACAACCTAAATTCCCATTGATAGCTGAGTAGATTAGAAAACTGGCACATACACATAATGGCGCACTTACGTTATGCATGACTAAAAAGCCCTGATGATCACATGAAGCACATTGCTTCATGGGAAGAGTTGGAGGAAATTATGCAAAGTGAAGTTAGCCAATCACAAAAGGAAAAGTACAACATGAGTCCTCTGAGGTAAAATATAATCAGCACAGTAGGTATAGAAGAAAAGCCACTTAGCTCCCACTATATGGGCTGGTATATAGGCAGTCGGGTGGGGGACAGGCCAAACGCAAGGATGTACATGTCATTGCAACCCAAAGAAGAGGAACGGGGAGAAGGGGAAGGGAGAAAAGGGGGGAAATAGTGGGAAATGATGACACTGGGAAAGCAGGGGGTTAACCCCCCCAGGAGGAGAGTCTTGGTTATGTCTCCACAGAATTGGGAGTGTGCATGCAGACCCCACCACAGCACACTAAACCTTGAGGGCAATGTAACCGCAGGGAGCAGCACGTGAACAGAGAGGGCTACAGGGCCGGCCCCAATCAGAGGCAACTGACCCTCCCTAGAAGTATGTGCTGCAGAGGACAACAGTAAAGCTACAGGTTGGGGAGAGGGGCTGGCATGCCATGCCCACAGGAAGCAAACCAAGGAAAAATAGAGAGTGAGGTTCTAGACCCCATGTCAGCATACTAAGCCCTAAGGACAATGTCGGTGTATGGAGCTGCTAAGGCACAGAGAAGCCTGTGGGGCCAAGAACAGCTCCAGACATGATGTCCCCTGGCTGGAGCATACCGAGACAGAGGACAATACTGGAGACACATGGCTGGGAGTGAGTGTAGTCTGAACACCCCCCCCCCACCCCCCCCCCCCCCCCCCCCCCACCCCCCCCCCCCCCCCCCCCCCCCCCCCCCCCCCCCCCCCCCCCCCCCCCCCCCCCCCCCCCCACCCCCCCACCCCCGCAGTGGGGAAACCAAGAAGGGAACATAACTGATTAGCAATGAGAGCAAAGCAAAGCCACAAAGCACCTGAGGATCCCCCCAAATAGACTTCAGGCTAGGAGGGGCAGTTCCCAGAACCCCCCAGGACCAGTAGGGAGATAGTCCTACAGGTGAGTGGATAAACCTGGAATTGTCTATGCTTTTTCGTTTAGTTTTTTTTGGGGGGAGGGGGCTAGGTATTATTATTTTTTATATACATGTTTTTTCTTTTCTCTTTTTATTCAGGCTTTTGCTTTCTTTCTCTATTGCCTGCATTGTTGTTGGTT